CCCCCCCAGCTGCTGTGCCCTGTCCCCCCCATCCCGGCAATCATCCCCCAAAATACTCAATGCCAATGGACAGCCTGGAAAAGTGACTGGGATTTACTTCTTTATTTAAAAACACAGGGAAAAAGGGGTTCCATCTCCCACAGCCAGCGCTGACGGGCGAGGGGGGAGGCGGGTAACCGGTGCCACGGGAGACACGCAGTATCGCCCACGCGAGGCACCCCGGCCCTAAGAGCACTTGAAACCCACAGCCAGCGCTCGCAGAAACGGCTGGAACCGCTTGGGAGTTTTCACAGAGAAGAGCAAACCCTTCTCTCGCACCACTCTCTCCACGCGCGATTCCTTGGCCCGGCACGCATCCCTGGGAAAGCGGGGAAACTCCCAGCACGTACTGCGTTCTCCAACGGGAACGGCTCCGGGGGACACGTCTGTCCCCACGCGGGAGAGCCGGGAGGCAAACGCAGAGGCGAGGCGACACCAGTTTGCTTTAAAGCAACGCTGCGAAGCTCCATCGAGGTCTGACAACGTCTGCCCATCCCTGGGGAGGGGATAGAAATCCCTCCCCACAACACCACCTGCATTGCGGATGGGTCTGGAGCTCGGCGTGGCTCGGACCGCACCGGGTTCAGTCGCACATTCAGCCTTCGCCCGTCCTGGGAGGGTGGGAATGAGAAACAGGAATGTCGCAAGAGCGCTGGAGCCACTGGTAGTTTCTCCTCCTGGATAATTAACCCTAATTGTGCAACAAGCTTCTGCTTTACCATCCCAGGCCTGAGGAAACTTTGCAATTATCAAGCAACAAAAATACTTGGTGCTCCACGGTTGTGAAGCGTCACACAAAGTAACCGTCGTCCCTCTGCATCTGATGTTCTCCAGAAATTAGGTCAGAGCACTACCACCAAACGCTGCGACTCTACGACTGATAGGCTTACCAAATTACTAAAACATTTTTGAAACACTATTGTAGGAGCCAAACAGCAAGCCAACCTCAAAAAAAAAAAATAATTATTTCAAACACTAGTGCAAATAAAGCAAAAAGGAGAAGAAAAAGGAACAAGATGATCTAGGTTTCTGCAATTAAATAACAAATATTAACACTCGCCCTGTACCGTTTGCATTGATTCCCACTCATTTTCATAGTTTCAGTGTTCTCCAGCATCTCCACCCCCACTTTGAGCCACCCGTACCCCCGAATTTGGGAGGCCCCGTCACCCCCCCCCCACCCCGCTGCAACAGGGCTCCTCCAGCTGCGCCGGCCCCGCGTCCCTGCAGAGCGTGTCCGGAGGAGCCGCCCCTCCGCCGCAGGAGGGGATCCATGCAGCAAGACGCAATTTAAATCTTGTTCGGATCCAACGGGCTGATCAACGCCTCGGAGCAAAACTGGTGGAGCTCCGCCGGATCCCAGGCTGGGGCTGAGCTGGGCTGCAGCACAGCTGTCAAACAGCTGGAGACCTGGGAAGGGCAGGGACACGCCAGATTTTTCGCTTCTGGGGAGCACGTTGAGCTGATTTTGCAGAGCAGAGAATGTGTAATGCCAAAAAAAATAAAAAAAAAAAAAGAAAAGAAAAGTAAACAAACAAAAAACAAGAAAAGAGAAAAGGTAAGGAGTCCGCAGAGGGAAGCCTCCTTAACCCAACCCCTCCACGCACGGCGAAGTTTGCAGTGGCATTCCCGCACCCTCCAGCTGGATTCATCAGCTGCAGTACAGCCGAGATGGGAAAGAGCGTGCCCGTGTCCGACGCGGGATGCAGCAGCACAGCATCACCGGGGCGAGCGCCGTGAAAGCCCCTCGTGCGGGTCAGCAGGACCCCGGGTGGCCCCGGCACC